CTGCTCTTTCAAGAACTGGAATTCTGGTCCCAAAACTTATATCAGGTGGCTCACAACTGTCATTCTCCAGCTCCAGGGGTATCTGATGCTCCTGTCCCCTGCTGGCACCTATACTCACACCCCCAAACCCCCTGTTTGCTTTCTCCTGACTTTAGATCACTCTGCTCTTTTACCAAGCCAGGTTCCATGTCCCCACTTTACCAACTGAGCTTTTTGTATCTGGTGAGATCACTCAAAATACAACATCCTTTTATTTTATTTTTAGTTTTTCGAGACAGGGTTTCTCTGTGGCTTTGGAGGCTTTTCTGGACTCCCTAAAAGACCACATCTTACCGAACCCAAATTTTAAGAAGCAAAGAAAGAAAATGACACAGATTTAATCAAAGGAAGCAATAATGAGGTTTATTTAAAATTTTTCCAGTACAGAAAATCTGTTAGTGTTGGAATAAAGGTACTCAATGTATAAGAGCAGGGGAGATAGAAAAAATTAACAAAAGAAAACAAAACCAAACAGTATAAAAAAACAAAACAAAAGAAAAATGTTTGAAATGGATTACAATAGGGAACTTCTTTAAACCTGTGAATAATGAACACAGTTACCAGGTTTGGCAGACAATTCATTTGGAAATTAAAGCCTATGTCTGTATTGTAAACTCAATAAAAACTGCTCATTGAATTCAAGCCTTTCATATACTGGGCACTGAAACAGAAAGCCAGTTGATTTGCAAATAAAAGGAATTATTCATTTGTTCTCACAGTTACAGGAATTAAGCAGCTGCTTTACTGCAGTGTAGAGCAGATGAGATAAATGACAAGAAAGGAAAAATCAGAAAAAACTCTAAAAAACTGAAACACAGCAAATTCAGACACCAGCTTGCTCATTTAAGACAATAAACTGAACGTTACGGCATAGTCTACATTTGTGGTTGTCATTTCCTTTCCCCCAACCAATGGACAAATAACTGCTAGATCCACTAGCCATTTAGACTATTCCTGACCTCCAAATATTCTGTATACACATATTTAGACATGATCAAAAAAAAAAAAAAGCCTGATGTCATTCAGACAGCACTACAGTCATCATACAGTTTTAGAAAGAATACTGTGTATGTCATAAAGATTCGCCTTTAAAGACAAACAAAGAACCCATTCAATTCTAAACAAATAGTTTTAGAACATTATGAAAACCCATCAAAAGATGATTCAGGGTGGGTTCGGAACCTGATGAAGAGCACACTTCAAAGACTATTAAGGTAACACTCTGCCAAACACTCCCAACAAAAGGACTGCTCAGGATTGTTCTTCTTCTGATAGATAATTTGTCCCTGGCCTGGCCATCTCCTTTAAAACTATACACAAAAGTCCTGCTAAAAGTCAACATTTTAGTTGATCATACAACAGAATGTCACAATGTAAACTAAACAGATTCTTGATATCAACATCATGTTACCAATGTTTGTTAATTTGTCAATCCAACAGTTGGTCACAGAGGTC